CAGTTCAACACACTGCTTTATCAATAACAAATGTTTTTATTGTATTCTATTCTGTATATTTAATTGTATTCTATTTATGTTATATTATGTTAATATATATTTCTGTACTTCTATAACTGATACCTACTCTATAAGCTCTGTTTGATTCGGAACTAGAAGATGCTGCTTGATATGCTACGTTATTTAGAAACTTGTATAATTCTCCAAACAATATGAAACTGAATTGAAAAATCTTTATTCGACATATTCGCACTACACAGACAATCTGTTATCCGTGCAAAAGTTAAGCCCTAAATGTCGTAGTAGTACAGCAGTAAGCCTGCCTTTGTTCGAGCTAATCTGAGGAGGTACGGAACTCATTCTGTCGGTGACCAAGAGCTCCGGGATTTAGGGGGCTTTGTATGGGTATCTGTAATATTGGCATTGTCGTGGCGACGTTGTATTCAATACTAAACCATTCGAAATTATCCTTATGGACATAATATAAAAGTGGGTATAACTTTTATAAGACCAAATCAAATAATTTCTGCTGTTACACAGATCTGTATCTTTTTAAACGCCCACTTGATTGGTACATTAAATAATAGCTCTAGTTTATATATTTTACAATAGAAACTCTAGAAATATAATTTTGATAAGTTATGTGTGCACAATTGAGCATATATTGCATCATTCATCAATGGCAAAACCAAAACCTCTGCAACGCTCACGTTTCAACATAATACATAGTTATAATTATACAGTAAGTAATACATATTATATATTGTTTAACATGATATCATAAAATAAACAAGATGAAATCAATATAGAATATAATGTTCTACAATTTAAAGTATGTAGACACTCAATTGTGATATTGCCATATTATACTTTTTGCTGTTAACAATAATCTCTACGTAACATACATATTATTATGAGATTATTATATGGAAAATACTTAGTCGTTTATTATTTATCTTGTCGTACCTTATTTATGGTGTTTCATACTTCTTATTTATGTGTATTTATATAGACTAGAAGATGCACACGGCCAGGCGACGATGAGACGAGGCGAAGCGACCGATTTCCATGGAATTTTTCCATTACCTCGGCAAATTGCACGCTCGCCTTCATAATGTACCTTCCTGTCGGCTTCAACATTTTATTATTTTTCATTTCGTATAATATTTTCCCTCACTATTTATAAGAAAATTCTTAATTGCATTCAATATATTATAAGAACATATTTTAAGATAGTTAAGTAAATAGAAGTACCTATATATACATCATATCATCATAGTTATGAATGGTATATATCTTGAATGACGTTGAAATTTATCAATGAAATTTATAATATGATTAATTTTTTATCGATACACATTGTTTGCTGGAGGAATATTGCAGTGGTTGATATGTTTTAAATTTAAATAAAAAGAATATTTAGATTGTATTGTACGTTGATTTTAATAGTGACGCCACGGAATGTTCAAGAAGGAGTGCAAAATTGTATATAAAATATCATCGATGTTCTGTGCCTGACGTTCGAAATTTGAAATTTGAAATTTTATTTTTAAATAAAGTAAAGGGCTATTTGCGATCGCAAACACACATAAGTTTATATAATTTGTAAAGTAAGTAAACTAATTTATTATTTTAATTCCAAAGAAATGTCTTTAGCAAAGAATTGATTGAAAATTAATTTATGACGACCTCGGTGGTCTAGCGGTCTAGCACACCGCTTTACGTCCGATGGTCGCGGGTTCGATTCCTCGCACGGCACAAACATTTGTATTCATGAGTATGATTGTTTGTGTCATTGTTATACACAATTTTTCACTAATTTTCATAATTTTATGAAAATCTATAAATATTTTTATTAATAACATTAAAGTTAACATCTAAATGCTGGATGAATATATAGTTAAAAGCGCTTTAATAGTTAGCGATTAAAACATTTTAAGAAAGCGTAACTGTTGACCTGTATATTAATAACGTCACCCTAGTTAGGATTAAGGATATAAACCTCTGTGAATCGAAGCGATCAATGAATGGAGTCAGTCTTCCGTGCTCCGTTGAGACTAGTACATCAGATGAGATTCATATATATATATATAAATATATATATATATATATATTTATGAATAATGGAATTGTGTACACAATTCTCTAGTGCTAACGGTATAAACTGGAACACAAGTTTCGGATGACAGGATGACCATGAAGTCGGTATTCACCAGAAATTAACAATAATGATTTATAGCAAGCATGAATCAGGTGACCTGATAGAGTACATTATCTGCAATGGTGCTACTGGATCCCATTATTATAATACATAATAATATTACAATGTATTATACTCCGAACTTAAATGTTTTTTTTTTATCAATACATATTCAATATTATAAAGCTATTTATAGGAAAACACAAACACTTCAAATGACTGTGTAAGATGATTATTTATACACAAGATATTAATCTCGATACGAATATAGAACAGAATTACACAAAGTATAAACAGTATCATACCTCGTGCGCAAAAAATATACTAAACACTCTGGTGTTTAGAATAAAATGTAAAATCTATTTTATGACAACGATTTTCGTCAAACCATTCAAATAAATTGAAAATAAAAACATGACAGAAACACCAGTCCATTCTGTATTTCCGCATATATGACCACAGGACCACACGATTGCTGTGAAACTGGTCAGTTTCTCTTTGTTTAGACCACTGGATCCGGTCACCGTACCTAATGATATGTCACAAAGGAACCTGTAACGATGTGGTTTCCTCAAAAGTTTACATTTGCACGCTTCAGTGTTATTATTTTAATGGTTCCATTTTGAGTTAAAATGCTCTTAAGAAATGTTAGTAAGAACGTTACAGAATATCGATTAAAATTAGGGTTGTCAAAGCCCAAATAATTTACGGGTTACTCCATTTTTCTTGTTAACGAGTTATGTATATCTAAGTCCATTGCAACTAAAGATTTAAATATTTGTTGATTAGTGATGAATTTAGTCGAACCTTAAAACTGTTAAGTTCTGTCTCTTTCAGTTTAATTTAGTAGTTTAAAATACGTTTATATTAACTATTTTTAGCAGTATATAATACAAAATTGAAAAAAATGTATTTTGAAAATTAGTTATTAAATTAAAAAAATAATTAATGTAAGATTATTTTATAAGTAAAACATAACACTATGAATCCGATAAATCTATCTGATTGAAAAGAATAATAACGAGAAATCCTAAGCAATATGGCGAAGAAAATAATATTGTATAGTCATTTTTTATATTATAAGACATACTAATATAATTTTGTGTAATATGATATAATAATGATATACGCATCATATTACACAAAATACATAATTAAGCGGAAGTAGTAGTCTATTTACGCTCATTCTTGTTGTTAAAAAATATCAACAATATTTATAAATATATTGTTTTTTAGGCCGGTAACCCTTAAATCGGTTTTATCTTGGTGTAGGCGAAGAGGGTTTGCGGGAAGATATACTTATGCCACGTCTCTACCAATTCAAACGTGTTGTTGCGGCTTTATATATGTATGTATTGGTGGATAAGAGTCTTTAATTCTGTAATCTTAGTCTGGATTCAAAATTTCATGACAAAATAGTAAGATAGAATATTAATAATATATTATCCTTAGATAATTCACACAACGCCATCTAGCCCTAAGGTAAGCAGAACTTCTTTTATTAACTTATTTTATGGGTACTATGTAGAACACTCATATAAATACTTAGATATTTGTTTTCAAAATACGTACATAATATTTATAATATATCGATTAGTGACATTAGTGACTAAACTCCTTACAAAAATGAGATATATATATTTAAGAATATGTAACAAACTGTTTGTTATAGACAATCATCGTCCATACTAATATTTTAAACACGAAAGTGTATCTGTCTCTTTGTTACATTTTTACGATTATTATTGAACAGATTTGAATGAAATTTGACATAAAGATTGATGCATCACAAGAACGGAGACCGGTGTACTGTTGTTTGAAAAAAACCACTCTAAGTACTACCAACTACAGTTTTAAAAATTAGTTTAATAATAATATGGATAAATAACTACCTATACTTTATTCTGGACTGAAACCATATTTTAATAGAAATCAATTTCCACTAGTGTTATGAAAGGTGTATGAACATTCAATTACACGCGCTACTGGTCAAGTATTTATCAATTAATATGATATACAGCAAGCATCCCTTTGTCATATTAGTAAGGAATGTACTCGCATTCCATTTAATCAGTGACAATTTGCACGTCTCTGTGGTGTGTCAAACGCACACATAAATGGCGGCAGTGATATTTATAATAGTCATACATGTGTATAAAAATAAGTCCAACATAAAGTAAATCATAATACAATAATTAAAAATTTTTGAGGTGACAAAGTGGCAAAAATGGCGGCATAAAACTGTTTATAAATATCAACTCAGATGTATGATAGGACTAACGTACATACATACTTTTTATAAAATAAAATCTAATTAGAATTAAAATTTATATAGTAGATATGGAGCTTCCGTACAAGATAAATTCGATGATGAAACATAGTTGAAATTATAATTTGTATGACCGAATGGGTGTTGATTTATTTGACCCTCCACTTCGTCTGGTCAATCCACAGAGGGTTGGATAAATTTATTACAGCATATTTGTTATGTAATATGAAGGAAATACATTTTCATAATAAGTGTCACACTCGTTTTTATTATATTTTGTAATAAAAAATGTAAAATCGTATTGAAGCAAAAACTGTCATCGTAAAATAATCTAAGAAAATATTAACGTCTATAGTTTTTACGTACGTTAATACGGGTGCAATTTTTTTTAACCGCTACTGGCTGAGAATAATTTAAAAACTTATGCAGGAATACATTCCTCGTATCCCCCGAATATGACTTATACCTATATAGAAATATATATATATATATATATATTATATTACCTATATATATACGTATATGAAAAAAACTAAAGTAACCCAAATAAAAGAAAAAAAATAATTAAAGCACTTATTAATTTAATTAATAAATAAATGTTTAAATTCAATCAGTCCTGTTCCACGTCACATCTAAATTAGTCATGTATTTACATGTATAAAATTAAAGTGTAGGTAGGTAACATATTAAGAGTAATCGTAGAAATGTTATCACAATTGCGGGTATCAATAGTGTAGGAATAACAATGACACTATATTCATTATTCCATATCAAAACTAATAGTTATAAATGTAGTTAATATTGATAATACTCGCAATTATAAGTAATAATTGGTAAACTTGATTAAGGTCCATAACAAATCACAACGAGCACTTGTGTACATATTTATATTAACTAATACTTCATTTGAGTAAATTACTTAACAGATAATTTGATAAAAAGATTAAATGCAAATGAGTCGAAGTATCTTTTTAATCTGTGCGTTTTGTCTATTTGGTGTCATAGCAGCGGTAAGTTTTAATTATTTTATTTTATTTTTTAGGTATTAATAATGTTAGATATAAAATTGAGAATGTCTTTGTGAGAGTCCCATCCGTTTCAATTTACTACGTGCAAAAGTATACAAAGTGTATATTCAATTCAAAATTTTTCGTAAATTGTCATATTATGTCACTTTCCCGTTTATCTCCATAGTTCTTATCAGTAATATTTACATATTAATAGAATATATGGATAAAAGATTGTGTTCTACACACTTTAATACTGTTCAGTATAAGGAAAGACGCCTAATAATGCACACCGTGTTATGTAACGAGTACAGTTTATTCAAGTGTAAATAATTATTTAGTGCTATATGATATAGTTTTACTGTTCTTTAATATAATCAAATTATTTGTAAAATGGTAAGAATAACAAATTTGATTAAGTGTTTATAAAATCAAAGTCAGGTTCAATTGTTTGTGTAGGTACTTATATTCTAAAATGAAATTTAATTATTTTCTTTATTTGAAAATTAAGACTTAAAAAGTTAACTAAATAATGCATATTAATCTACCACTAAAAATTACATACTTCCTAAAATTATATTCGAATTATTTATACTATTAAAAGTTAGATTTATTAGCAGAAACTACTTATATTTGAACGAAATTAATTTTAATGAAAAATAACATTTAGACAATATTTTAGCCAATGCTACGCCGATGTTGATACTCTTTTGTTATAATAAAATTCCGCTCATTGCATTTATTCTATTTCCACAGCCTGTGTGGTTTAGCAGTTTAGCACTCCGCTAAGAGTTCGATTCCTCGCACTGTACAAATATTTTGTATTCATGAGTATTATTGTTTGTATTGGTCTGGATGTTTTCAATAAATATTATGTACATAATTACAAAAACAATATCTAAATATTTATATCAGTTGTCTAGTTCCCATAAAACAAGTTCTGCTTACCTTGGGACTAGACGGCGTTGTGTGAATTGTCCAAGGATGTTGTATTATTATTTAATATTCCAATTTACCATTTTATCATCAAATTTTGAATCCAGTTTAAATTATCAGAATTAAAGATTTTTTTTAAGAAATGTTATATGACGTTGTAGATAAACAATTCCAGTCAACGAGTATGTATAATTGGTGCTGGAATAGCAGGATTATCTACAGCAAGGTATCTTATGGAAGAAGGTATTCAGTTTACTGTTCTAGAAGCTACTAAATATGTTGGTGGTACCTGGAGGTATGATTCCAGGATTGGCACAGACGAAAATGGCCTACCATTACACACCAGCATGTATAAATATTTACGGTAATTATAGTATTCCACTACTTACTACGCATTATCAAATATCTACATAGATAAAGTTTACATTAACAAAGAATGAGTAAAATTTACTTAATTATATAATATATTTATATTTATATAATATTATATAATCTAATTATTTTACATATATAAAATTAAATACAGACAGTCTGTATCCACATATCATAAAAATGTAACTGATCACAGTCTGTTTAGAAGACTATTTGAGCTCAAGTTTTCATCTGCGTGAAATTTATAGTCTATGTGTTATTTGGATGTATAAGCTATATTATTGCAAAGTTTAATTAAAATTCATTCGGTAGTTTTTGTTTGTAACATCTATACATCCATCAATACTCACAAACGTCCTCGTTTATAATATCAGTTAGATATTTGAACAATAAAACAATAAATTGCAATGACTGTTCGTATTTTGTCTGTTTATCTAAGCATTTGTGTGCGCTAATTTTAAAAACGACTTAACGAGTGCCCTTTTAGCAAGCTTTACTTAGAATTTTGAAATGTTTTATTCCAAGCGGTCTGTAAGCACAAAATAAAGCAGCAGGTATAAAGTAGCAGGGCCTAACTGAGCTCGCTACTTCGGTAGTAGTTGTTAGGTTAATAGTTCGGTAGTAACCTATCACATACTGTATAACATGTGTAATATTAATATACCTATTAATAATGTAAAATGTATGTTATGTTTTGAAAAACCTTTCAGGACAAATTTACCAAAGCCTGCAATGGAGTTAAGAGGTTTCCCATTGCCACAAAATATCCAGTCCTTTCCCAGTGGGCAAGTGTATTATGATTACATTCAATCATATGCTGAACATTTCAATTTAATAGACGATATAAAGGTAAGATACGAAATAACTTCGGTAGACTTTTCATAAAGTCGTTTAAGCTTCTTAGTCTCATCTATTCCAGCCGTAAACGCTTCTTTGTAAACTTACTTTTAATTTAAGTGTGAGATATGGCAGGAAAATTGTTAAGAATTATATTTTAATTCTTCAGAACAACAAATCTTGTGAAGCAAGTGCCACATAATGACATCATGTCACATCGATTTAGTAACAAAAAATATATTAATTATTGCATTATCATAAACAAAATGTTCATGTAAAATATTTCTTATATTTTTCAGTTTCTACACAACGTGATATCTGTAAAAAGAATAGATAATACATGGAAAGTAAAGCACAAGCATGTAATTAGTGGGAAAGAATTTGAAGAAGATTACGACTTTGTTATTATTGGCACTGGCCACCATAGCAAGCCAAATATGCCTAATATACCTGGGGAAAATCTTTTTAAAGGTAAAATATATAGATACTAATATTGTAAAGAAAAGACTGGATTATTCATTTTTTAGGCTATGACGCATTAAACTGGCGTGCGACCTGTAGCAATGTACTTTAAGAACACATGGTTTTATTTCGAAATTCTGTTCTGAAGTTAAGGTTTGAAAAAATAGCGCTTACAAAAGGTAATCTTATACTTGGTACAAATCTTTGAAATATCCTTAAGGTATATTATGTCTACTAATAAATGTTTTTCAGGGTCTATAATCCATAGTCACGACTACAGAGTACCAGATCCTTATAAACAGCGTCGGGTCCTGGTGATAGGCGCTGGACCCTCCGGAATGGACATAGGTTTGGAAGTGTGCAATGTCAGCAGACGCCTAATACACAGTCACCATTCAAATATAAACTACAGGACACCGTTCCCATCACACTATATAAAGAAACCCGATGTTAAAGAATTCGATGAGACAGGAGTCTATTTTGTTGACGGAACTTTTGAGGAACTCGATGACGTTATTTATTGTACCGGTAAGTTATTCTCATACAATATCTAGTACCTAGAAATACATGTTATATTTTTCCATATACATAAAAGATATTATGTATCTGGAACGCCAAACTGACTGATAATTTACCTGATGGTAGTAGATAATCAGCGTTTATTTACCGACTAGTAGAGCACCATATACTCCAAAAAATACATTGTACGAAAATCTGGCAATTTTCAAGAATATTGTCCCTTTTTAGTAATATTATTACTGGATTTCGATTTATCGAGATAATGTTAGAGTGAGATTAGATACAGATAAAAGAATATTATATAGTTTAACATTAGAGAATAGTACATAATGGATTTTAAACAAATGACTATGATTTAGAAGAAATTACACTTAGTAAAAAGTAGTTTCTTTCATAAGTAACGAAATATAACCGTTATATATGTAGATACGTACTATATTTAATATATATAATAAGTAATATATTTTACAGGTTTTGAATATGACTACCCATTTTTAGATGAGTCATGTGGATTAGATATAGCAAAGCACAGTGTGGTGCCATTATATAATTACGTGGTGAACATAAAACAACCCACTATGATGTTTTTAGGGTTGGTTGTGCGAGCTTGCCTGCCTCCTGCTTTAGATGCTCAAGTGAGTTATGAAATGTTGAAACTAGCTGATCAAAAATATTCTAAATGTATACTTAAGATTTTTCTGTGTTTTGTTTCTGTACTATTTTGTTTCTTTACTTCTGAAGACACGACAATAAGTCTCTGATCTCTTAATATTTCCTTTCTATTTAATTACCTATATTCATGTGTTAAAATAATATAATGTTTCAACGTGAATATGGCACTGGTGACTGCAATAGACATCGTTCTGTCCGGGTAGGTAGGACAACTTGTATGTCATTCTTCTGAATGACATATTTTAAAAAACAAATACTTAACCAATTTTAATTATGATATTTCTTGAATTTGAAATGAAGAATTTAAGATAAACATTTGGATTTTTTCAGGCTAGGTACACAGTGGCGTTAATAAAAGGAAACTTTACTCTTCCCTCGAAAGAGAATATGATGCTGGATTGGCAGCATCGCTGGAACGTTCTACGATCTCTAGGAAAACCATTATCACACATACACTTCTTAGGCGAGAAAGAGGTATGTTAAATATTGCTAAGGAATTATTACATTTCATGACTTTCAAGTATATGTATATGGTATATTGTGAAACCTATTATTAGCTATACTACTGGTTTGTACATTCTATTCTTATGTATAGTACGTGTTGTTGGTTTCGACATAAATAAATATAAGCACTTATTTCTAAGATAATTGATGTAGACCCCAATTTTTAACAATTCCCTATGACGATAACGTAGAATCGCGAGACAAAGAGACCTAAAAGAGATATTTAAGATGGTCCTATGAAGCTTATTGTAATAATTCGTTTTAATGTTCTAATACAATTACGTAACTATGTAACTAGTGGGAAAAACAAAATAAATTATTTTAACCATCCAGAATCCATTCAGAATATCGTCAGAGGTAATAAGGGATAGATAAAACATAATTAAACCCGTACTAGCGAATGTAATCTCTAAATAAAACGTACAGTTTTATTTAGAGATTACATTCGCTAGTAAACCTGACCTAACCTAACCTAAGACTATCTTCAAATAACAACAAATATCAAAAACTCCACTATAATTGTTAAAAATTAAACATTTATTTGTTTGTGCCATTTTGTATTGCTAATATTGTTTTTAATTATGTTTTAATCAAACCATTTAGCCACCATGATTATTGTAATTGTTTATTTATGAAACTGGCTCACCTCATTCATAGTAGGTAACCGTCGCCTATATACCCCATGAGGGTATATGGGCGACGGTTACCTACTATGAATCATTGACTATATAGATAATTATCATGTTATTATGTGATATATATGTTATCAGTCATACATTACCTTGATTGAGTATTACAATGTTAGTATAATGTTATGAGTGTGTATTTACTATTTGTTTTATTGACTCTAATTTATGTTTTCAGGATGAATATTACGCTGGATTAACGAAAGAATCCGGCATAGACAGAGTACCACCGGTAATATATAAAATACGTGCGTGCGATACTGAAGCTAAATTAGAAAATCTATACACTTATAGAAGTTATACATACACCGTTCTAAATAATGAATCATTCCATAGAACAGTAGAGAAGAAACTTGATCAATAATTTATTGTATCATTGTGATTATATTATAATATTATTAATAATAAATAAATAAGAACACTAATATTTTTATTAACAGCATATAACGTGAGTTGAAGTAAAATTTTGTTTAATATTAAATTATGAATATTCACATTATCGTAGAACATCTGTTATCATATAACTTGTATTTATTATACATGTTAATTTTATTTACTACACTAATTTCTACTTATGTATTCTTACAGCAAATGAAATAATTGTGTGCATATATTAGATTTGTGCCTTACTGTTGTTGTACTAGACTGATGTATACAAGTTGTTTTCTTATTATTATTTTAATGTCCATATCCAATCCATACTAAAAATATTTACTAATAATAAATAAAATATTCATTTTTTCCTTTCCTTGATGGTCTAGAGCTATTTAGCACACTACATTACTTCAGACTATTGTGGGTTCGATTCTAAGTACGAGACGAACATTTGCATTCTTAAGTATGATTGCATATTTGATATGAAAATGACCAAATAAAATGAACAAGCATAAATTATTTTTAACCTATATATTATCGTTCCATATTATAACTGGTAACAATTCTGTATACCTACTATTAAATAATACAGTACCTTAATACTAAATTACGCATATACAATTTATCTTGTTACTCCGTCGATTCTTACACATAACAATAAAGTTATTGGCACTGTATATTGCCTGTGTGCGAGTTTTTAGTTTTCAACGTATGTAAAGATACCAGTTAGCAATTTGAATTTGTACAATTGGAATATTTTTAGTTATTTCAAGTTGTATGTAACTATCTATTATATAATATATTTAATTGTTTTTTGTAATATAAAAAATATCCATGTTTTATGGATATTTTTTCGAAGAGGTCAAAATATTCGCTCTAAACAGCACTACAATTTATTCGAAGTTTAATTCGTTCGTATTTATTCATTCATTCATATTTATTAATATTATGAGTTTTATGATAATTACACATAATTTGCATCTTTGTTCAAATGGCATAATTAATTTAATATCACAATAGTCATTTATTAAGTTCTTCACATATAAAAAGCTTAATTAGAATTATCTGTAAATGACTAACAATAATAAATGAACAAATCTATATTGAATGCATACATACCTAATAATGCATTACACCTTATGAAACGGAAATACTTATGGCTTTGCTTTAAAAAATATGATTCCATATAATCTTCTAATATTAGTATGTATTTTATGGGTGTTATTTATAGCTAAAGAATGCCATCAATTATATTCTAATTAAACATTATAGAGCCATACAAAAGTTTACATTCTATATTGAGTCATGGCATATCATACACATCTATCTAATCCTAAAGAACTTTCTATAAACTCTACATATTCTATTATTTATTGGGCTAAAACAACTTTACAAAAAATACGTTTACATAATGGTCCGTTTTAAATCATTTGATGTTGATAAACGATTTTTGAGTTTGAGATAATATAATACGATTTTTTTTCTGTGACGAATAATATAAAATATCTTAAATAGATGTTTATTAGGTGTTTATTACCCTATAATTGTTTTTATACTGTAAATGGGTTTGCACTTGGTCTTGCCTTATCTGATAGAAAATTATGGCAGGATCTAGTATGTAGCATCTATTTACCATAGATATGTAATGTATATGTATATGTAAAAAATATTATAATTTTCAAGTATGTTGACATAAGTTATAATTATTATTATTTTTTATAATATTACACATTATAAAATGTATGTTAAATTGAAATCATATGAAATCTTACTAGACTAACGTTTTATTTTCATGGAGGTACCATAATTCTGGCCAAAGTCGTATTTTATACACCTGGTCACAATATTTTTCAAAAAGTTAAAACGGCATATTATAACACATACATTTTTCAGGGGCTTCTCTATCTCACCCTCGTACAGGTTCGCCCGTAATTATTATTATTAAAAGTAGTACAAAACAGTTTCGTGACACTTTTACTTGTACATTTTGATATAAAAAAAAATTGTGATTAGCTTTTAATAAAAGTATCGTAATATTAATCCTGTTATAGTATAATATACTAAAATAAGGATGAATGACTGATGACTATTTGACTGTTCGATACTCTTTCACGCAAAGATTACTGGACGGATTCAAATAAAATTCGATACAGAGGTAGACCAGGTATCAAAGGACATTTTTCACATTCACGCGGGCATCAGCACAGTATACAATTATGTATAAATATTATAATCATTCTATTCTATGTCAATAGGACAAGGTGCACCCATCCTAGGATTATAGGACCGAGCAAAATTATTTTCGTCTCTAATGTAATAATCATATTCTCTATAATTCAGTAAATCCTCTAGTCGATTTAAGGCGTTGAAGTTTCTAATTTCAGTTAATACTGGAGGCGCCCTGGTCACTCCGGCTTCTGTAGTCAAATTTCCAAAATATTGGTCCTGTAAAGAAAGAGTACTAGTTGTATTATTAGTAAAATGTAATTTTAATAATTAATATAAATTTGAATATGTTTTATTGAGTTCGGTTTTTATTCTGAAAAAGTCTATTTGGTCCATTGATTGATATTATTTTGGTTAATTCTAATATTTAAGTCTGTGTAAGTCCAGTCATATGACATATTCTATATGACATATGACAGCCACATCGTTTTATTTCCGATGCCCGTGGATTCAATTCCTCGCACACCGCATGTTTTAACCTGTGTTATTATAATTTCCCACTGGTCGTAGTGCATTTCGATATGCATTTCGTCTGTGAAGGAGGCATCATTAAGCAATTAATTAATCTTGGAATCCTAGTGTTGACTGATCGGAGGCCAGACTACTAATACTAAACACTAAACTTTCAAGGTATATCAGAGCTCTATTAATTGCCTGATAGTGTCTCGTATGGAGTATTAATGAATTCATTTATTCATTCACTGACCATAGCTTCTCCAATAACATTGATATCAACTATTTTCTTGCCCCGCGACTGCAACGCTCGAGCACGTCGGAGCCACATTTTCAACATGTCGTTTTGATGAGGAAGCTCGAATTTACGGGCTGCTAAAAGAGCTGAATATTGTGCCTGAAACAGTTTTATTTATTTAAGCTTCATTTAATAATATCTTTATATCACCAGTTAGGGGCAGTATACATACTAATATCAATAATGAACTGTAAGCTTTAATTATTTTTAACGTTTCAAGTTTGGTACAAATTATAAGTCTCATCAGTAAAACCCGTTTAAGTATATGAAAGATTTATTTTTTATAAAAAAAAGGCAAATGCTTACGAGCTCTTGCAAGATTTACCTGAGCATCGAGTACTCTATTGATAATGCCTTTGGAGATTCCAACAAACGCCATGCTCGGGTATCTGATGTTGACTACATCCTGATGTAGCGGCAAGACGAACTTGCCCGACTTTGTCACGCCTGTGTTTTCGTCCAAAAATGACAGAGCCAGTTCATAACCTAAAAAATAACAATTGTTTTAATTTATCTACTCAGTTAAAATTACGGAGGCAGACTTTGTAAGAAGTCATTACGTAAGTACCTCGTTTAGTACTTACGTAATGACTTCTTATAAGGTCGACTTAATTTGAGACTAGATAGAGTTTTATGAATTGTCCTGGATTTTTTTTATACCACGTAGGTAGCAAACAAGCATACGGCCCATTTGATCGTAAACTGTTACCATAGCCTATGAACGCTTGAAACACTAGGGGTGTCACTTGCGTGTTGCGGACCCTTAAGCCTTAATATACCCTTAATTACCATAAAAACCCCATGCTGTAGTCTCTCAGGAAACTACAATTATTACTACTATATTTACCAAACTATTATTTATATCACTAACTAATAACACTAAGTAAACAAGTACCTGTACAAAATATCACGTCATCGATATCCTCGTAGCTATCATCTTGAAAAATAACTCCATTTGACGTAAATGATTTTATGTCTGGTTTCTTGATGTAAGTGTCTGAGAAATTAGGCTGATTGTATGTGAGATGATGGCTGTGTACTAGCTTGGAAGTTATGTTCGACAAATGTATTGCTAAGTCCAAACCCGATGGGCCTGCTCCCACCAGTAACACTCGACGGTTAGCATAGGCTTCAGGCTCTTTGTAGTCATGACTGTGTATAATATTACCTGTAATTTTATTCCTTTTTACATAAATAGAAATTAAATAGGACGAAACAATTTCATAAATGCGTAATAATTTTGTATTGGAATTTGATTGAAAATTAGGGAATCTGGGAAAAATAGGGAATAATTGTTGTTTATGGTTTGTTACGTTATAATTATCTTTTAACAAAAGACTGCTGTTTTAGATTAGTACACTTGTAATTTTGTTCAATATAATTAACTGTAAACATACAACCAAACATCTCTAATAATAAAAATGTATAGTATAACATTACTTACATATGTAATATTATGTTATCTGTGCTTATAGCTAGGTTTACCTGTAAATGAACTCTGTCCCTCGAATTTCGGCCACACAGGATTGCTGTATTCTCCGGTAGCAACAACTACGAAGTCACACTGTTCGGTGTAATTGTCCCTAGTGTTAGTCCTTGTATATGTAATATTCCAGATATCTTGTACCCTTTTAATTGACGTAACGTAACTCCTTAACTGTAAAAAAGATAAAACTTTTATTATATAAGTTATTTTTATGTAGGTACTATTCAATTACGTAATGTAGTTATACCTCGGAACAATCTCAGCGTTATGCATATATCAGTTTCGAACTACTTCCTCTCTGTATTCTAAATTATTATTATTTACAGTACAGTGTTAGAATATAATATATAATTCCTTTTTACAAGTTTCCCTTGAAAAAGTATTATGACGTAAATATATTTTTATGACTAACAAGATAAAAAAATACCGATAGTTTTTTACCAATGTATTTACACGCTACTAACTTCTGCCTGCAACTTTGTCTGCGTGAATGAATAACCGGGATAGAAAGTCTTACTTATTCTATTTCCTTCTCCAACCCAATTGCCACAGTCATTATGATTGCCTAAGCTATTAAATCATGAAAGCGTAACAAACAAACTTACTTTCACATATCTAATATTAATTAGGATTAGGTAAATACTAATGTCTGGTCCTAATACAGAAGCGTATTAATGCATATTAATTTAAATTTAAAAAACGTGTTCGGATACTGTCAAAATTTACCTCCGATCTTTTTTTACTTTATTCAGAGTTTTATATAAGTAATTTTATAAAAATTTCGTTCGTTATAAAAATATCAATACTAAAAAGTTGCCGTTCATATGCTACTAAAATGTCCTACATTAATAAATAATTTTAGATTTTATTTAAAGCATAAAAAAATGTGTACAGTAATTAATAATTAATATTTTAACCGTTTTATAGGTTCACTATTCTGTACGTTATTTTACATATTGACTAACGATAAATACCTATAATACTACAATGTACACTACATTAGAACTGGTAGCAATAACGTAACAACACATACAGAATACATAATAATCTACCAGTAATACAGAGATGACTATAGTCATGTTGTAATAGGTAGGTAAGTACGCTAGGTGTGGAAATTATTTATTTATTGCATAATTCACGAGTCTAGGACTTACTATCAGAATAACAAGATAATTTGCCTCTACGTTTGTAAATAATACTGAAATATATATACTATACAAATATATTATGTATATACAACAAAGTCGGATAGAAACTGAACTATTACCACTAAGAAACAAAGTAGAGAACAGATATAATATATATTTGTCTACTTTAAGAAAACATACGATTTAAGAGACACACTGGATAGTCCAGGAGAGTCGATCTCATCTATATGAGCCTTAAAGTGTTTTTACGTCAAATTTTAATAAAATCTGTTTAGACGTTTTATCATAAAAACTGTGAGATATAGACAAACAGACGGATACGTTTTTGCCGTTATAATTATTACTGTGGATTAAAAAAACGTTTTTAGAGAGAAGAGTGAAGTACGAGCTTACCTGTATATTCTTCATGAGATCGAATTTTTTAGCAAACAATTTTAAATATTTATGGAAACAGGTCCCCGTTGGATATGACGGAGTGTCTTCCGGAAACGGGAATCCGTCGAATTCCATAGTGTGCCGTGGAGTATTTGTTCTGGAAAAACATATAAAGTAATTTCTTTAGAATGCTTTAGTAGATATGTATGTATATACGGAATATAAATCAGTTGGTCCCAAATCCAAAGTATCGGCCGTGAGTTATTTTTTTTTAAATATTCATTTTATTCGGCTGCTATAAACTTTTATCGATCTACTCGTAAGTAGAGAACATGTTCAATATACTATAATATATATAATATATACCAGAAATAATTTCGATTACACAGAATTTGAAGTTGTCAGAGCAATACAAAATGGAGTAGAGTGCCATTTAGATGCGACGATTCAAATTGGTAATATTGAAATATAGGCTCCAAATTTTCACAAACGCCACATAATGTGCGTATGAATTGCTAGGAAACTTGATTGTAATACTATATATGTATAGTATGTATTACTTTAGTCACCTTTGTGTGAATAAATTTCACTTTGTTAAGAGGAAAGTGATAACCTCCTGTCACACTCTGATTGATATTCACCTGTATTTGTTGCTGGTGCAAGTGCATGAAAATTATATTACAACTGAAGTGGCAAGATGGAAGGTAACACGATATTTCCAGTAGTAATTAAATAAGAGCTAATTTTGAATCCAAACACATTTTTTTTATGTTAAAGTATTAAACATAATAAATATTGATTTATTGACACTAAATCTACCCAAGTTCAGTCACACCAAAGTTTGCTATTACTACTAACCCACGCCATCTTTTATACCTGTTGTCATTTAACCTTACATGTCCTGTACGACATTCGTTATTGATATTGACATCATTATTCAAATCGGATCATAATTTATAATACAGTCCTTATCTTATACCTAATAATGCTAGCGGAACACGAAGACAACAACCTAGCCGGAAAACAGGGCGTAATTGTATTTTCAGCTCATCTGGGAACCCGTAAAATATACACACAAAATTTCATTCGAATCGGTTCAGCCGTTTAGGAGGAGACATGTGATAATAACACAAGCGGAAGAATTGGATTTACACGAGTATATTATATGTATAATGAAATCAAATTTATTATAGAATTTATATTTACTTAAGTTTAATTCAGTAATTGTGGTTTATTATATTTTATGCTTTATTTACACAAAGATATTCACTAAGTGTTTTTGTCATACAATTTTGAAGGTCGTATCATTAATTCGTGTGCATATTTTTTGTTGCCAATGGGTTTTTCTAATTTAATTTCTCATTAATTCATTCATCTATCAACTTATTTATAAATATGTATAAATATATCTAAAACCATATGGTCAACGATAAAAAACGATGAATGAGAAGAACCAGAAATACAAACTGGTCAGTGATAATTAAGTCGGTTACTCGTATTTCATAACTAACGAAAACCGGTTGCTTCACTGTAAAGTCAGAAAGTATAATTACCTAATTTCCGCAATTTCACTGGTCCACTTCATCAACAAAAGCAGTGCTGTTTGTATTTATTTTAACATCATCTTATATACATAGGGCTACACGTAGATGTAATATTATAGCAATTTCTACAATTATCTGAACAATCACTATTTATTTTGTGCGTCTAATGCAGAGAAGGAGTTACATAAATAATATTTTGTATATTTATCATATACGATATACCTATATATTACCTATATCAACTTTTTCAACAGATTAGAAAAAAAATTGACAGTTTATATTTGTTCTTTTCCATGTTATGTTTTATCTCCGTCTTTGTGCTGGTTTTAATTATTATACTCGCATTAATGTCGCCATAATTATACTCCTTTTTTATAAATTCCTATGATTATTATCTTCATCTATCCATCAGAGACTTGTAGCATGCGTATAATAAAAAACAATAATAATAATACTAACAATATAAAATCTAGTAAACACGTGTAATTCCTCCTTAGAAAAGAGGACGATGATGTTTTATCAATTTCATCGAAGACATAAAGATTTAGATAATAGAGATATATGCATACCTTAAATATTTATACATGCTGGTGAAGAGCGGAAGACCATCTTCATCGGTACCGACATTAGGATCGAACCTCCATGTGCCACCAACATGTCTGGACGCTTCAAAGACCGTGTAGTTGACGCCGTACTCTTGGAGATACCTGGCGGTGGCCAGCCCTGAATAACCGGCTCCGATCACACATGCTCGCTCTACGGGTTTGCTCTGCAAGTTACCAATGTACCTTCTCAATTGTTGTTATGAATTAATTTACTTTGTATTGTACTTGTAGTTTAACTTATTACTCTATCTATCTAATTCAGTATAGGTCATTTTCTAGTAAAGTATCAAATATTCATATAGATGATAATTAACTACCACGAGCTTATTACTGACTACTGACTTATAAGAACCACTCCTATATTTTTGTTCTTTTTCCCTTATTTTTTTATTGCGTATGCGTAGGTAACACATTCGAGTCACTTATCATAAAAATCAAGTATGAGAATTCAAAAAGCTTAGAAAGCTTTCAATCAAATATACAAATACCTAAATTTTATGTTATAGACAAAAAGAAAACTACAAATATTTGCGAATTTAGGAAGAAGTTAACTATGTAAAGGAATCTATTTCAAAAAGCAATTTACTTTATTTAAATCGTCTACCTACGTCATTACATGGTATGTATATGTACCTACCTATCCAATATATATCCAATCGAATATATGGAGAATTTAATGGATGATATAAAAAGATCGTTATGGTTTCTATAGCAACACCAATACGAATCTTAGGTGCTTAATGAGAATAAATCTAAACTGAACAATCCAATTATAATATTAGGACATGATCAAGTACGTTTATTGATATTTTAAACAGCAATTTGCATACCTGTATTTTATTGGCCTCTCTAGAAAACTAATGCCAGTTATTACATATATACAATAGTAAACAATACTTTATCATAGATATCAAACTAAAAACTAAGTGTATGAATAAAGGATTGTTGAAAAATAAAATATAATTTAATTAAGAATTGAAAACCTCCTGAAGTTTGTGAAAATTTAATCCTTAAATTGACGCGCTATACCTACAGATATACGAAAATCTGTCAGTTATAAAAAATCTCTACTTACTCGACAAAATGATCGCTAAATTGTCAGTTAGGTAAGTAAAAACTAAAACCAAAAAAAAAATATAATTATGTAAATTAAATTAGAAATTTAAATGTCACGTGTTACAGTAGTTTCGAAGCAAAGCATAATTTTACATTTTAGGCCAACTATTGTGTATCAACAGATTAAGTAAGTAGATACATTGCTATAGTAGTCGTAGGGTCTCGATATACTCCAAGTTAGTATGCACCGCTGTCATGACCACGTAACCTTATTTTCACCTTACATAAGTTTTACTGCATGTCGTTTCCAATTTTATAGTCACTGCTCATTTAAACTGCCGTTGACAATATTTTCATTGACTAACTTTGAATTCCACATACGAAATAGTAGCTGCGCAACTTTGTCCATAATAGTAACTTCCATCCCACATTATATCGCCTCTTATCATTATTTTTGGAGATAAATGGCTTAAATATTCTCTTTGACAAAATTCGTTCTTAATAAAATTTAACGTGTAATTAGTAATACTTAAGTTATTATGTAATAATTGTTAAGCCGTTTAAAAGTAAAAAAATCCTTAAATTTCTGTAGGTGTGCTATGCACACACACATACATATTGTTAATACAGAGATTGAATTACATCGCGCGGCACAGCGCACCTACTACACGTCCCTCCCCAGTCAGATATACGATGTAGTCCCGTATCGCCGCATTACAATCGTGATAAAATATAAATGTATTTTCATTTGGTAAAGCTCATGACACCACACCAGAACACGCGATATATATGGATAGGAGAACCTTCCATTCATAGTACATAAGTGATATCACAGACCTGTGAAAGTGGTGACCCGCGAATTTAGTGGTGTGAACTTTACAATATATTATATACTACTATATATTACTTCATACTAGCATAATGAATCCACAAACATCACAATCAGCTATACAAGCAGTGCAAGAACAAACTTCCGAGCTAGCGCAGATTAGCTTATCTTCAAGAATAGCCGAATTCTGGCAAGAACAACCCAGGCTATGGTTTGTACAGCTGGAAGCCGCACTTGCCAACCAGAAGCTCGGAGATGAGTCTAAATACCAGCTCGTCACGTCGAAATTAAACAGAGAAGTAATCGGACAGGTACGTGACATATTGTTAAATCCTCCCGACACAAAAAAATACGAAATACTTAAGCAAAGACTAATAAACATTTATGAAGAGTCTGAAAACAGACAAATTCAGAAATTACTCAATGAAGTAGAATTGGGGGACCAAAAACCGTCGCAATTATACCGTCGGATGAAAAACCTAGCTAGCGATAGATTTCCTTCAGAGACATTGAGAATATTGTGGACAGGACATCTGCCAGCTCACGTGCGTGCAGTTTTAACTGTGAGTGAAGTAACGGATATGGAGAAGCTAGCAGTCATAGCAGACAAGGTCATGGAAGCCGGACACATAGGGCAAGTAGCTGAAATATCACATACTGCCCAGACCACTACTACAGATATGCTAGTAGAACAAATAGCGAAACTGACACTACAGGTCAATAGGCTGGCGTCAAGGCCAAGTTTCCAGCCGCATAGGTCTTCCAGGAGCCGCGATCGTTCAAGGTCACACTCACGGGGAAGATCTCTGCGACGCGATAAAAACAGTCCTGACTGGCTATGTTTTTATCATTTTCGTTACAAAGAAGATGCAACGAAGTGTATAAAACCATGTAACTGGAAGGATAAAACTAATCAGGAAAACTAAATACCGTGCAGGCTGCGGCGGGCGACTGTACGGCAAATTTCAGTAATAACCGCCTTTGTGTAACTGACAGACACAGTGGACTAAAATTTTTAGTGGACACAGGAGCTAATATATCAGTGTTACCAATAAGTAAACAATATTCGAAGTGCTCAAATAATGGTGAGAAATATAAGTTATATGCAGCTAACGGTTCAGTAATAAAGACATATGGTATGCATACTCTAATATTAAATCTAAATCTAAGAAGACCATATAGATGGACATTTGTAATTGCCGACGTTAAGCAGCCCATTTTAGGTGCTGATTTTCTTTCTTATCATAAGTTAGTGGTAGATTTAAGTACCAAAAGATTGATAGATAGTGTAACAAATTTAAATATTATTGGTAGTATAACTAATTGTCGTGAGCCATCGGTTAAAACTATTGACGAGAATCATGTATATAGCGACATATTACGTAATTATCCTAACATAACTAAACCCGCAAATTTTAATGAAATTAACCCTAACAGTATTGTATTTCACCACATAGAGACCTCTGGAACTCCAGTATTCGCGCGTGCCAGACCTTTGCCGCCGGATAGATACGCGAAGGTAAGAGATGAATTTAGGATTATGCAGGAAATGGGAATCTGCAGGCCATCGAAGAGCGAGTGGGCAAGTCCACTACACGTCGTGGCAAAGAAAAACGGCAGCTTGAGACCCTGTGGTGACTACAGAGGCCTTAACGCTATTACAAAGCCGGACCGTTACCCGTTGCCCCGGCTGCAGGACTTCACATATCTGCTGGCAGGTAAGAAGTGGTACAGTCATTTGGATATTTCTAGAGCCTACCACAATATACCTGTAGCTCAGGAAGATATCGAAAAAACCGCCATCATAACACCTTTTGGACTTTTCGAGTTCCCACGCATGAGTTTTGGTCTAAGAAATGCCGCGCAGACATTTCAAAGATATATGAATACAGTGGTTCTCAAAGATTTAGATTTTTTATTTTGCTATATTGATGACGTCATCATCGCAAGCGAAAACGAAACACAACATCGCAAGCATTTAAAATCAGTTTTTCAACGTTTTAACGAGTACGGAATTACTATTAATCTTTCGAAATGCGAGTTTGGTAAACAAGTAGTAGAATTTTTAGGGTACAAGGTTTCGAGTGAAGGTATCAGACCTCTTGAAGATAAGGTCAATGCCATCACCGAATTTCCTAAACCGGAAACAGTAGATCAACTTAGGAGATTTTTAGGTATGGTCAATTTTTATAGAAGTCATTTACCACACGCTGTAGAATATCAGTCCGAATTAAATAATTATTTAAGCACAGCTAAACGTAAAGATAAGACAAAAATTAACTGGACTAATAAAGCAGAACAAGCATTCGATACGTGTAAGCAAAGTTTGAAAACCGCTGCCTTGTTATCGCATCCACTACCAGACGTCCCGTTATCGCTTATGACGGACGCCTCTAGTACATGCGTAGGCGCTGTATTACAACAGAGAGTGAATAATAATTGGAAACCTTTAGGATACTTTTCAAAAAAATTAATGCCATCGCAACAAAAGTATAGCACTTACGACCGCGAGTTACTTGCTATTTATATGGCCGTAAAACATTTTAGGAATATGCATGAAGGTCGTAAATTAATTATATATACAGATCATAAACCGTTAACTTTTGCTATTGATAAATTAGGGAATAATAACGAAACACCTAGAAGAACAAGACAACTAATTTTCATTAGTGAGTTTACTAATGATATTAGGCATATAACAGGAAACGATAATATAGTCGCCGATTCATTGTCACGTATAGAAACAATAAACTGTCCAACAATTATCAACTATGTCGATCTAGCGAATTCGCAGAAAACCGACGACATGTTATTGCAGTTGTTACACGATACCAACACGAGTATAAATTACAAAACTGTTTACATACCTAACTGTGACTTACCTATTTATTGTAATGTTATTAACAACGAATGTAGACCTTATTTACCAGAAAAATTTAGGAGATTAGCTTTCGATTCTATTCATGACATTAGCCACCCAGGTATTCGTACGTCACGAAAAATGGTGACTAAGAGATATTTCTGGCCTAGTATGAATCGCGACATTAACTTGTGGGCTAAGACCTGCATACATTGTCAAAAATCGAAGATAGGTCGTCATACTATAGCAGGATTAGGTAATTTTGATACCTGTAATCGATTTGAACATATTCATGTAGACCTTATAGGTCCTTTGCCGATAACCGACGAAGGTTATAGATATTGTTTAACAATGATAGATCGATTTACTAAATGGCCGGAAGCCATACCAATTAAAGATATGACCGCTGAAACGGTCGC